TAGCTCTGTAAACCTTCATCAGTTCACAATAAAAGGTTGAAAAATAAATAAATAAATAAATAAATAATTCATATATGGTAGTGGTGGTTGTGTGCCGTAGAGTGGGTTCTGACTCATAGAGATCCTGTATAAGGTTTCCAAGGCTGTAAATCTTTATGAGAACAGAAAGCTTCATCTTTTTCCTATACATGTTTTAATCGTCTTTTAATATTAGATCTTTTTTTAAACATTAAAATTGAACTTATTTGAAATTTGTCTAATTTTTTAATTGCCATGATTATAAAGGAATTATGAATGTCTAATAAATGTTTCTTCACCCATACGAGTGCAGATCCCTTTTAAAAGTTATTTTTTTAAAAAAGAGAGATTATAAAAAATAAGTACGAGATTAGCTTTATCACTACATTTAAAATTTAAATTCTATTGAAAGATAAAGGCATTAATATTTTCATGTAGCTTTCTCATTTCCCCACCACTTCCTAATTTTTGTTACAGTATTTCTATATTGTCCAGCTTTGTAACATTCTTATTCTACAGCATAACTGTAATTTTCAAAGTTGTTTATTTAAATGAATGGAAGGCTCGTAGATTCTCTATTCCTAAATTCTTCATTTGATTCATTTTTTTGTCATGTAATAATTTAATTTACAAAGATATCCAGTATGCTATACAAGTTCAACAGAGTTTGATCTGTTTTTCAGAAGTTAGACTTCTTCAAATGTTCTTCTTATCTTATTTCATAGATGAACTTAAATATTCTTAATTTTTAAGCAAAGCTGCAGCAAATTCAGTTCCAAAGTATACAGTTATCATAATGAGTAACTGCCACTTGCTATCACTGAAAGTGACAAATTCTTCCTTGTGCCCTCCTTATGGTAGATCACAGAACACAGAGATGGTAAACTTCCAGATGCTGTGACCCAACATCACACGCTGGAGGTTTGGCAAAAGGCACAGAGACCACAGGCAAAATAAATGGTGGCATCAACGCCTGTTCTCATGACCTTCTTTCCCTCTGTCTGATTCACTTCTTTATTTATATATATGTATATGCATATATACATATGGAGCACAGTGATTCTGTAAGATAAGCACTG